ACACAATTATATGTTGTAACTTACATATGTCATATATATATATATATATATATATATATATATATATATACTCTTAAATGGCTCAACTATTTTATTAGAAAAATTATAATTAAAAAAAGTGGAGAGAAAGCGAATGTGGCTAGAACCAAAATGTCATTATTTCACAAGAAAAGGCAGGGATATAGCAAAATGTGAACATGCAGATCTGAAAAGCCAGTGACCCCAACTGGTTTGAACATGACTATCACATTTTAGCATCAAAAGAATTTGTGGACCACCCCATATAATGATAGATCTTGTAGTTTTCATTGACTGAGAAAATACATAAGGTATGTACTTATTAGTATTATGGATAACAGCATACACATATATTTGAAAAAATAAATATGGAGATGAGACATTATTTTTTTTTCTGTCTGTGGGCATTAAAAGTATTTAAATATAAGAAACTAATTTAAGCAAGTGGAAATTTGAAAGAAAATGTGTTCTGAGGAAGGGAGCCTGGAGGGTAAGTCACCTGAGTCAGCTCTCAGAGGCAGTTCTTCTGTACCCAAATTTCCATATCTTTTTTCCTTTCTTTGTTTCAAAACTAGGGTGCCCCTGTTTTTCAAAGACACAACAAAACAGTCTCCCCATGGCTGCTTTAGTTGAAATCCCAGTGGGGACTGGATCAGTGGAGTTTTTTGGTTTGTTTTAATTGTTCATACTGTTGTTGGGGCGGGGTATTATAAATCAAGTATTTCTAAATGAGCACAGCCCGTTCACATATGATGGGTCCTGTATTGAGTTGACCTGAAAACCATATTTAAAACCAGTAGAAGAAATTCAAAGAGAGGGTACATCTTCACCTTAGTACTCCATTTTCATTCTATTTAAGAATTACCCCATCAGTGTCTTAAAATTGATTATCTTTGAGCCTATATAGTATGCCCATTTGTATCTATCATGAGAATGCCACAGATTGAGAGGAGCAGCTGACATGACCTCAATAATCTGAATCCCAGCATTTCTGTCCCCACAAAGTTTCTCTAGATCTCTCTCTCTCTCTTTGATTGTATCTAATGACTGTTCTGTTTTCAAAATGTATATTTGCTTTAATGCTCTGTGGTATGTTTTGGCTTTTAGAAAAAAAAAATGTAACTCCAAAAGCTTTCTCCAACCAGTATTAGGTGTGTGTGTGTGTGTGTGTGTGTGTGTGTGTGTGTGTTAATGAGTTAAAAACTGAATTACAGATTTTATTGTAGTCTGTTCTCTTCTGTTTTGGTTCTAAAGTTTAACTTGTCATTTTCTCTTTTAAGCCAAAACGCTGCACCAACACTGTGGGATTCCCTGGAAGAACCTGATATCCGGGATACTAGTGAATTTGAGTATTTATTCTCCAAAGACACTACTCAGCAGAAGAAAAAACCTCTGTCAGAGACGTATGAGAAAAAAAACAAGGTCAAAAAGGTATTGAGTGATTATAGTAATCATTGTAATTATGTACATATTTTTTGTCATACATGGGAGTTCATTCTGTGCTGCTGGTTTGCTTTCCCTCTGTTTTCAAAAAAGATTTGGAAGGTTTTGAGTCACTGATGACAAAAAGAAGCCAGTAGTTGAGAATCTGTGTCTTGCTATTTTGGTCGTATCATCTGACTTTTCAAACTGTTTTTTTTTTAACTTAATCTGGAGTTTTTTCAGCCATTAATTCTATGGGGGAAAAATTATAGCTATTTAAATTTAATTAATAAAATTACATAAAATAAAAATAGTCCTTCAGTGGCACTAGCCACTTTTCAGTTTTGTTGTTTGACTAGTGGTTCCCATATAGCACAGATATAAAACATTTCTGTCATTACAAAAAGTTCTATTGGATAGCATTGCTTAAGCATCTGGGATATGTTGGCGAAAAACAAAACCAAACACAGATTGTTGCCCTGTGGAGCTTATATTAACAATCAACAGTAAAAACAAAAATTAAATCATGTGACAGAGCAGGGTAAGGAGGATCAACTTTGGCACAGTGGGGATGGGGCTGCGGTTTTAAATAGAGTCTGCAGGGTAGTCCTCACTGAGAAAGGTGACACCTGACCAAAGATTTGAGGACCTCAAACCTGAGGCTACCAGTCAGCCCATCAGAAAACAAGTTCAAGGTTCTGAAGCAATCAGATAGCTGTGGTGTTGAATCACAGACAGCTGTGTCAGTCTCTAGCTGTGTGACCTAAGTCAGAGTCCTTCTACTCCGTGCTTCGGTCCCCTAACCATAACATGAGATGGTATCTGCTCGGACTGTTATTCTCAGTAATTATTAAATGAGGTTTTATATATACCATGCTCAGCATAGTGTATGGCACACAGTCAGCCCTCAGCAGATGATGGCTGCTCTCTCGTTTTGCTGCTGTTGCTGCTGCTACGGCTGTTATTTCTCTGCCTTGGTGTTTTGATAACAGCACAGATGGTTTTGAGGAAAAAGTGAAGTACTTGGTTCTGCTATCAATTTGCTATGTGAGCTTGGGTAGGTTGTCTTCCTTCTCTAGAGCATACTTTCCCCTTTTCATAAAAGAGGATTAACAATATCTGAGTCTACCTGACCCACCAGAATGTTGTGAAATTCAAATCTACGAGAGTCTGAGGAAGTGTTTTGAAAAGTGTAATATTGAATGATATCATCAACAACTCTTCATTCTTAAATTCTGCAGTGGGGTTCATCTATTGGTTCATATCTCAAATAACATTAGGGTTATAAAATCAGCTGTGCCTTTCAGGGGAAAAACATGGCAAAAGTCTGAATGCAGTTTCCTGTTAACCAAATTAGATGTTCCCACTGACCTGAATTATGAATGAAAATCATGATCAAAACTTTTCACCTCTCCAGTCCATTGGAATTATGTTTTCATGAGAAAAATTTGGTCCAAATAAATTGAATTTCACAACAAATCTCTTAAAAGGACATATTGCATGCAACAATTTGAATTTTCCTACTACAAACATTAGTTTCAGACAAGAAGTCAACTGATATACTATATAAAATGTATTCCCATGCATTAGAGTCATATGAGATGGAAACAAGTGTGCGTTATAGGCTGGCTGGCTTTCTAAATGCCATCCATCTACAGAAAAAGAAGACAATAGTTGCTATACAAAAGGCAAAAGAAGAATCTTTATATTCCAGAGCTTGCCTCAATTTGCTACTTCCAGTAAGCCTTTCCTGACTAACCAGGAACTCCGCTAAACGTGTTCTTGGACAATATCATATTAAACTTAGTTTTGGTCTCTATTTCTTCACAGATTGCTATTACTTCTTTTGTTTCCCTCTCTGGATGCTTGGTAACATGTTGCTTAGTCATCAAACTAATTATTTCCGTTTTGGTGAATGAATATTTTTTTAAACATCAAAGCTTTCGGTTGTTTATTCTTATTTCTTATCTCATAATTGTTTGCCTATTCAACAAAGGATTTTCATGAAGGCAGTTAGTCCTCGATGTGTTTATTTTGTTTCACTGTCTGAGGAGAAAAATACCCTCCATTTGAACTCTTTAGTCCTTCTGAGCTGTGGGGTTGCTGTTACCCCATGTAATCTACACGTGTGTAGTCTTCACTTTTTCCTTTAAGTACAGGCAAGAATGTAGGTCTGCTGGACCTGATGGTCTTGAGGCTGCTAGGACTTTTCAGGGAGCTTTGTGGCCTACCTTAGTGCTGAGATTTTCAGTTTTAAAGAAAACACCAGAAAACGCTAAACCTGCCTCCTAGAAGCCTTCCCTCCAGGCCTGTGGTCAGATTTCCAGCATCAAGATGGATCCCTGGGTCTCTTCTGAGAGTTAGATGTTTGGGGTTTTTTTTCTCTTAAAAGAAAAATGAAAGTGAATTTTAGAGGTTGTGAGGAGTTTCAGCTTTGGATCCAACTTCATCAGCTTAACCACAGAATGGTTTCCATACCAGATGACCAGGAAGACACTTGCCAAATAGGTCCTTTTATAATGACTGAAGTGGAGTATATGTCGCAGATCGAAACACCCAGCATTCTCAGTCAGCTGTGGGCGCTCAGCCAGCACTGAGACATCCATGTGAACATCTCTGAAATGGCCTTCATCCCTCTCCACATTCCATGTTCCTCCACGTTCAGCAATAACTGTCAAGATTCTGCTGAACTCAGATACTAGTTTCATCTTCTGTACTAGCATATGACGTTCCCGTCAGTAGAACTGGTTTAAAGTAAACAGATACACATATTCTTACACCAGGCAGGTATTCTATAAGATCACCTAGTCTAAGAATTAGAAGGAGCCTTCCCAGTCAGTTAATTCAGTCCCCTCATTTGGGCACACAAGAAACTGAGACCTAGAAAGATGAAGTGACTTCTAGAGTTGGCACACTTTTACCTGGGAAGACATCAGTAATGACGAACACGTGACGGGATATACAAGAGCCTCATCACGTTCATTTCCCCTTTATTTAAGCAGTGATTTGCCACACCGATGATGTTAACAACATGTATTGGGGTGATTGATCTGATGTTTTTAAATGAGAGTAGCCATTATTTAAATCATCAACAAAATACAGCTACACTTGTGCAAATCCCAATAATTTTCCACATTGTGAAATTATCCAGTTTTCTTCAGAGTCTTCCAATAGGAAGCCAAATCATTGACTAAAAAGATGTTTTACATATAAGTCCAACAAAGAAATAATGTATATTTGGAGCTGCTTCCCTTTGACTCTATCAGTATTTAAAATATTAGCTATATAAATAAATGCTAACTATCACAAATTTGTATTGGACACTCAGGCATGTGCCAACCTCATTTGTGACACCAGACCACTCAACCACTACAAACATAGCAACCACNAGAAGCTCACGCTGGCTGACAGCCACTCACAGTAGCTTACGGCAGCCCACTGCAGCCCCACTGCAGCCTACGCCATCATCGGCAACTCACGGCAGCCCAGCTCCAGGTCGAGCTGTTGTTCACCATCTTAGCTGCAGAGGGCGCAGCATCACTGGCCCTCATGTGGGATCTGAACCCGGGCCCTGCTGCTCAGAACTCACGCTCCCAAGCCTACTCTTAACCAATGAGCCACTCGGCCAGCTCAACCCTTGTCTGTGTTTTTTCTTCCTTTATGTATTTGGCCATTTTGAGAAAAAACACAGTTAAATGCTCAACCTCTTACTAGTTTTACCATAAATTTAGGGCTTCAGTTTTGAGCACCATGAAAAGGAAAACTAACTTTCCTGAGCTAGGACATCAGGAGAGCCCTGTTTGGTGAATGTGACTTTGGGGGTGAGGAGAGGCTTCCCCACGGTGGTGTGTGAAGACCACAACATGGGCACTTACGTTGCACCACCCACTTCGTCACTCTTATTGTGGGCACCTCAAAATGTGTCTGTACCTCAGAGCATGACTGTTTTTTTTAAACTAAAATGGTCAAAAGATTCTCTGTAGTATTCATTTGTGGACAAGAGTGAACTTATTTGACATGTGCTCTTTTAAAGGAGATGAAATGGTATTTTAATATTTCGTACCGCCAGAGGGGTAAGCACTTTGTATAGTACACATGATAAATTTTGGCCTTTGTCTTCTGGGGAACCAGGGCTATAATACTAATTTTCTTAATTATATGTATACTGCCTCTCTTCCACCTTTTCACTACCAACAGGAAATGATTTTTAACTTTTGCGATTTTTGCCTTCTTTGGTGTCTGTTTTCTGGTTTCTAGAATAGGAAAGGGACATTTAGTTAAAGAAACAGAAATTCTCATCTATCTGCTTTCTCAGCTTCCTAATAAATATCTAACTTCCTAGTGAATATGTTCTCTTCCTCCCCCTTTCGTCTTTCCCCCTCTATACTCCCTCCTCCCCTGATTCTCCTTTCCCCACCCACTCTTCCTTCCCTACTCCTCTTCTACTGCCTTCCTTTCCTCTTCTTCTGAGCTGGAATTGTATGTTCGGCAGTCAGAAAAAAGTTGACCATAATGGCAGATGGTCCACTGCGAGCGAGTCCTTGTTACTTCCCCACGAAATGCCAGTTACCCCCAACTCACCGAGAGGTGGTATTCCGAAATTCTTTTGCTCATTGTTAGAAATGTATTTTCCCATAGGAGCAAGGCTGTAAATGGTGATGAAGTGCTCCACCTGACTGCCGAAGCCTATTTACTCGAGAATATAAGTAAGTTGTAGCACTAGCCATTACTGGCCTGAGCTGAGTCCTCGGAGCTGGGGCCAAACAGTACAGGTGCAGGAGATGGTGGGGATGGGTCTGAACAATCTGCCTTGTGCATCCTGTCACCTACCTCTAAGCATCTCTCCTCAGCTTTTCAGAACCTTTATGAGGCCCAGACTAGTAGCCCTTAACAGGCTGCGTGCTGCAGAATTCCCTGTCTTCTCCCATGAAGGTGCTTATCCTGAGTGCAGCTGGGATAAACACTTACCATTAATGGCGTTACTGTTTCAAATTGAAATTAAGTACATG